TATTTATTGATTTATATTTGAGGAAATTAATTATGCTCAGAAATCATAGAAACTATAATTGGATACTCAGATAAAGGGTAGTCTCGACTCTCGACTCTCGACTCTCGACTCTCGACTCTCGACTCTCGACTCTCGACTCTCGACTCTCGACTCTCGACTCTCGACCAAAACAGAAACTCGAATGAATCCCTGACCCAAAGAGTACATTATAGGATACTGATGAGGGCTCGGCTACTTTAAAGTGCCTATCACCCTTCTGACACTATTCTCAGTATTGATTCTACATGGGGTAAGATGTTGAATAACCCGAAAAAATTACATAGTTTGAGTGCGGCTTCTTGAAGTTATGAAGGTTTTTCCATGCCATATGCTGATGCTGTGACGTATGAGGAGTAATCATTTAATATACAAAACATTACTGGTACAGATAAATTAAATTTGAAATAAGGGAAAATTTTCTGAGCGATATTCTGTTGTAGGGAAGCTCTAACCATGTGCTACTGGGAACTCATGAAAAAGGAAATACACTTCTATGCCTCATCTCTGGCAGAAATCAATTATAAATCGTTTACTGTACATAAATACAACTTTTTATAATCATGTAATTGATGGGTTGCAAGCATTCCCAAAAGACAAAAACATGGCGGCCATCTTGGTGCTGTTAACAATGGATGCTAATGAGAAATCGTTTGTTAAATGGCACCAACATGGTCGTGATGACGTAAAGTGCAATCGAAGAATACATGTAGGGTGTTTGTATGATAGTGTCATTTGACTCAAACTACCAATGCTTCATGATGCATGATACTCATGAATACACGAAGCGTAGAAATTAGCTATTTATTTAAATTTGTATTCACTCTTGAGAATTGTAAGAATGTATTTTTGGTGCTAATAACTGAGCAAAATAGAGTGTGCACGGGAGTCTGGTAGTAGAGGTCAACAGACGTCATCATGTAAACATTCTATTAGAAACTGTATTAACAAACTTCATAAGAACAGTTTGCTTCTTAAACACAACGATTTTATCGGACCGACACTGTTAGATCTTATTTGATAATGTTTACACACAATAATTTTTAAAATGTTGTCATTGGCAAAAGCCATAGGCGATCGGTCACTTTGACAAGTAAAGACAGTTGTCAATGAGGCTCTTAACACTCGATGATTTAATTTCACTCTAGTACAAATGATTCTGAAATTGAGATTACAGTATAGACAGCATGGCCAGGATAAATTATTTCGTATACATCAGAAAGTTGGGCTGCAATATCACTGTCAATGCCAATTCTCTTGATTGGTGGAAAGCGTACAACTTCTTCTTTTCTATTCTGCAGATGGTCTTTAGGGACAATGGATGCTTATCCAACAAAAAAAACATCAGATGAATCAAGCAATCACCAAAACCTACAAACTCTTCTGGCCAATCCGATTGCTGCAAGTCATTGTTTCTCAAAAACTTGCGCATCAGCTGGATACCTAAAAAAGTAACAACAACAACCACAGAATGAATTACAATATAATTTATATGACACATGCTCTGAAATGAGAAAAAATGGCACCATAATGAATTAGGCCTAATTTAAAGTGGTGTCATATTTTCCCACCACTTGTCMTTTCCTAGAGAAAAGGTCTATTGGTCATCATACAATCATCTAACTTTAATGTAAGGGTGCAGTTAAGATGCAGTTGTTGTAAGTTGTATTTTAACTGCACCCTTACTTTAAAGTTAGATGATTGTATGATGACAATTGATATTTTACACAGTTGCTGTTAAAAATATCAATTTTCAGATAATATTTTCAGAATTAATTCTACATGAGGTGAGCTGTTCCATGACAAAAAAATTCACAGTAATGTTTGAGTGATGCATCTTGAAGTAATAAAAGAAAGAAGTTAAAAGAAAGTATTAGCAATTTTCTGTAAAAGGGTTCAAAATAAAGGGTTCTTCAATTTAAATAATACAGTACTTGCATCTTATAGTGAAAGATAGTATTTTTAATTACACTTCAGTCACTTGATAACACATTTCTTCAAGAGGATGAAATATGAATATCATTAATTTTACAACTCACCTTTTAAAGCTGAGTGTCCAGCAAAACCATCACATTTTCTTGCAGCAGGAACATCACAGCAAATGGCTAGTAGTGCAACTTTAATTTTAACAGCCCAGCCTGGGATACAGCGGTCATTTAAAATCACTCCATCCCATAAATCTGTCAATTCGCTTACCAAGGGCTGAAGAAAGGAGTTTATGTTTCCTTTTGGCTCATTGGGCCCTGTGATAATGCCAACCAGTATTACATTTTCAGTTTTGAATCTTTCTTCACGAGGAAGATTCATCACTACTAGATATATAACCCCACAACTATAATTAGTGTGCTTGTATGGCTGGAACCAGTCCACATTGAGCATTAATGCCAAATTTCCAAGTTTTGAGAAGTATTGCTTGCCATCTCAATCAAGAAACTCTTTCCAAATTCTCCCTTCAAACACATCTCCCATTGTACCATCCTCAAGATTTCTTTCCCTCCACGCTTCACACTTTTCTGAAAAACCAGCCCTTGCATGCTAATAGTGACTTCAAGGATGAAATCAGTGGATTAAAGCAATAAACTCTCTTAGGATAGAGGTAAAGAGAACCTGATTTTGACCTCATTTTTTTCATTAAAAGAGTTCCACATTCCGTACGTCTTCTCTTTTGGGGATGGTTTGGGAACTTGACATGACTGCATTTCTTGGATACAACATTACCATTGCTTCTTTTGATCGTGCACTCATCAAACTTGTACAGAGTCATGCAATTTGGACATGCCACAAACTTCTCAAATTCATCTTTCCCAAGACCCAATGCTACCTTTGCCATGTAAATGGTATTTGGTAAGCATTTGGCAAAGTTTACAAGTACATCAATCCTGGCCAGTGTACCTAGTACTGTCAAAATATGTATTGTGATTATGTACATCGTTCTAATAAAAATTAAACGTTACACCTCACTCCTCGATATCCCAAAAAGAACTAACATTCTGGCCTGATCATCACAGTCAGGACACGGCTAAACCATTCATCAAAACAAAATATATCTACGTGTTCAAATGAAATACGCAATATTCAAACGTAAAAAAGCCTAGAATACTCTTGCATTTTTCCTGTAACCTGAAGTACGAGTCTTGCACACCCATTTTAAATGCATCGGTCTCTCCGTATTCTAGCGTTTCCTAATTGAAAATCCTCGGGTTTGCTATGAGTATACCAGTCGAAAATGGAAAAACAGTCTGTATTCAACTCGAATACGTATGACTGACAAATCGTTCCTCGGGTATGAACATCATCGGATTTCTTTGAACACTTGAGGTATGCGTATCCTACTTGGGTAGGGGTGTGCCGCCACGACCTCAAAACCCTGACCCTATCCCAGACCTAAAATTTTGATTT